TTGCTTGGCGCGCGTGGGGAAAAGACGCAGAGCCGGCTCTAACTTTGTAGCCGGCTATAAGGACGCATTTAACGCACAACGGTCGACTTATTTGAAGAATATTAAATGTATTTAAAGTCGGAGTTGCAAAGCCAGCTTAAAGTTTTGCAGCCAACTCTCGAGGAAAACAGAATGTGCTGCAGACCCAAATAGCTGGCTCTGGAAATGTAAGCCGGCTCTGCAGAGTCGGCTCTAATATGTTAAGCCAGCTCTCTTGACAATTCTGCAGCTCGAGCTTTGTGTCCTGCAGAGCATTTAATGACCCCCAATGGCTAGAAACGGCTATTTTTGAGCAAGGGGCTATAAATATGGTTGGTAACAGATCTGAAGAAGGTTGGAGAATATTGCATTGAATATCTTTACCTACCCACTAGAGCTTTAACTTGAGTTTTTGATCTTTGAGTGATCATTGCTTGTAATCCTCTTCTTGTGCTATTAGTGAGTGATCTTGGGGATGTGTTAATTCCTTCAAGAGTGATCTGAAGAGAGGATCTTTGGGGTTAAAATGTAAAGGGGTGAGATTTGAGAGAAACCCTTCTTCTTATAAAGGATTGAATGGCTCCTTTAAGCCACCATTGTTTTTGCTAGTGGAGAGTATGGAGGAAATTCTTGGTGAGTGAAGCCAAGGTAGAGAACTAGGTTCCAAGTAGTTGGACCGAACCTCTATAAAATCATTATGCAATCTCTTCTTCTCAACTCTCTCTTTAATTTTTGTTTGGTGGTTGCAAAGAGGCGAAAATTCTCCAACTCCAATTCACCCCCCCTCTTGGAGTGCATTGAGTCAATAAAATATATATTATAACTATCTCCTTAACATTAGAGTAAAATAAGAATAAAAAATTTAATTGACATATCTAATTAGAAAGTAGTACAACTAATTTTAACACTTCTAATTAAAAGTAATGCAATTAAAATTTAGCAAAGAGGGTAATAACCTTGTATGTTGTCAAATAGGTACAAGAAAAATAAGTAGAGAAAAAAGTACTTCTGAATAAAGAGGGAAAAAAATGTAAGAAAAATAATTTTTCTTTTATAATTTCTTTTCTTATTTTCCGTACAAATTAAGAGTTCTATATATAAGCTAAAAAATAGTAAGAATAACAAAAATTAATCACTCCCTAAATAAGAATTGATCAACATGTAAATACATAAAAAGGTGAGTATTAATCTCCAATGTTTAAATCCACAATAATGTATAGTAATACTTTGGATTTTTTTATTTTTATTTTTATTTTTTGTTTGGGTATACATATATATATATATATATATATATATATATATAGCTGCTTCTTCTGCTCTGGATCACCGGACCCTGGAACCCGTGATCTATGCCTCGAGTGTTTTAAGATAAACACTCACCCATTGGAGCTACGGAGAGGACAGCTTTTTTTTTATTTTTCCGTCAAAGACTGGACAAATATTCTAGACAAAACTCTATGTAAACCCCCTAAAACTTATCTCAGATTTTTTAATGAAATTTCTAAATTTTTATTGAAATAAACAAGTTTCTAACCTTAACAATTTGAAATTTTTAACTCCTATTTTTATAATAAACTTAATATTTATTTGTATATTACTTATGTAGTAAAATAGTGACTTGTTATTACTTACAAGGTGAATACTGATATCATCCACGCGAATAAGCATAAATGAGCATTAAATTTTTATTAAAAAAAAGTTATATTATCCTCATCAATAAGTTCTAGAACTTATTTACTCCAACAAAAGTTTAGGGCCTTAATTGAATGTTCTACCGGTGATTATTTCCATTGTCTTAAATTTGTGACAGTTATTTTTATTGCCAATATGATGTTAAAAATATTTCTGTAATTGATTCCTTTCAAAAGAAAATTTTCGCAATAAAATCCTCTACCACTACCATATTAGGAAAAGGAAAAATTAAATTGACATTTAAAATATTAAAATATTTAATCACAATTATTAAATATTTGAAATATAGTGTGTTCTAAATTTATCAAATTTTATTATATAATTATTATTAGATGTTTTAATATTTTAAATGTCAGAATATCTTTATTTTCCTTTTTTTCTACCATATTAATATCTGCCTAATCTATTTTGCACAAAATTCTTCTTTTATAAATTTAAAGTATTATGTAATTTTTAGAAGGAAAAAAAATTTCTCAATTTGCAATAAGAATATTCCAAGTCAAATAAGTTATACCCTGAATAAAACAACTTTAAACTTAGGGTTTTTAACTTAAAAAGATATTTATATGCCTTTATATTTTAATTAGCTTAAAAGAAAAAAATTATAAGAAAATTGTTACAATCATGGTAATAGACCCCTCATGCCATTATTATGATAATATAGATTAATAATTAATTATTATTATTAGAGATCAACTTATCTATCATTTTTGTCATATATTTGCATGACATAATAATATAATTGTTGTAGCATGATATGATAATACTTACTTGCAAATTGTTTACATTAATTGTATAAAAGCTAAATCAAGAAGTGATATAAATCATATTAGAAAGGTGCAAATAATTTCAATAACGCAGCCCACTCACCCACAAACACCTACCTTCTAGTGGCGACTTGTCTTTGCTTATCCATGAGACGATTCACAAGTCTTTATTGCTAGTATTATCCTTTTTCCCGTCTTATGCATGTTGACATCAACACAAAATCTTAAATCTATATCTTCTAATTGAAGAAATATAAACATAGGCTTCAAAGTTTCCTGATATTAATGGATCTTTCTTTAATCACACAACTTCTATAGAGAAGGTTTACGTTCACCTGGAATCACTAGTATCAAAGTTGTATCAACTAATTACAATGTGTTATATACTGTTATATTTCGTGCAGATATTGTATGTGAGGTGTTCAAGGGGAAGAACATATACACGCCGGGTGAACACTACTTTATGGAATCTATTCATGCTGAAACCTTATTAAAAGCCTAGCATTTTTGAGTTTCTCACCCTTTTTGTCATACAGTGGGACTGACCGTATCCCAGGCTTCAACTCCATGACTGGCAAACATGTTTGCCCACCAAAGTCATCCTTCTCGGACATGTCATATTCTCGTACTTCAATCCTGATCAGAGCCAGTTCTGGAACGGTCAGGGAAAATACAAATTCTTCATTCCATACAGGAGACCAATCATCCTCGATTATTTTTGTTTTCTTCTTGGCATTATCTGCTGGCACTCCAAGAATATAAACCTGCAATTCAGAAAGGGTCACATATTACTTATCAAAAGATTATTCAACCTCCATTTAAAAACTCTAAGAGAGACTCTTTAATCCAATGGGAAAACTCAAGTGAGACTTCTCAAAAGTTATATCAATATTATTTTATTCAATTTACATTCTTTAAATTTCCTTTTTTTAAAATGAAAAGTAAAAAACAACCAAAAACTGGAGTATCTCCAGGAGTAGGGATACCCATGGAGATGCTCTTAAGATTTGAGCTACCACATCATATTTCATGAGTATTGAAGCTGCCATTATACCAACAGAACCAAGTAAATGCCCACGATAGTGGTCATATTCAACTTTCTTTAAGTGGTGTGTGGTTAATAATTAAGTAGTGAGTCTTGCTTGTTCATCACTTGAAACAGTTGGATACAACAGTTTATCTGACCCGTATGAACAGGAAGCACAGCCAGAGTATGCTTGGACTAACACGGCATCTAATAGAGACTAGGATAACAGTTTTTAGTTCATTAGTGTGCAGAATCTTCACAAACCTTTGTGTAGAAATCTGGTGGAGAGTATGTGTCAAAGTGCGTGTGACTAAAGTCCAAACGCCATCCATCCCCCATATATATTTTCACCTGTTAATGAGAGAAATGCTCTAAGAACAAGCCATGATGCAATTAACTTTGAGTTTGAGTCAAACCGTTATGTTCACCTTCAATGTTTTCCGTACTGGCATTGCCTTTTTAGGATCGAATACTTCATTCTGTGGACCTTTCTGCATTAAAAGGTCAGGTTTTCTCACATAACCACACCCTCCATTGGCTCTAAACATGCCATGCATCAACAAGAGAGATTTTCCATATCCCTTTCAAGTGAAGGTCAAATGTTAGTAGGAAGTATCTGGAACTGTGGAAGACAATGATGCTCGAAGTTGAGATACGAACAAGATACAAAATCAAGATAATTAAACAACCCAATATCTTAAAATACCTTTTTAGCTTACGATGAAAACACTTACTGTTTATAAGAACAATGAAAGTTCAAAGTAAAAGATAATATTATCTCAGTATCAAAGAATTAAACAGCTACTTTTGACTTTTCACCTTCTTCTTAGAAAGCATGATCCCTTAATCAAATGCAGTGTATCACCGCAGTCGTGAAGCTCACCTGCATGTTAAATGCAATCATCTGAGCTCCATGCATCCACCCAATAATCGGATCGTAGTTTGATGAGTCAAACCGTGTACCCTTAGGGTATATCCTCATGATGTTTCTCTGGGTAAAGCTGGAAGACAGCATAAATCAGTACAGCTTATCCACAGAAGAATCTGGACAACGAAAAAGGATTGACTTGTTCAGGGCATTGTGCAACAGGGATGCTTGACAGGTACCTTACAACATGAGTTCCGTGAGATGCTGCAGCCTTTTCAAGTTCCTGTTCACTCAAACTAAGACGCCTAACCTTATCAACTGCAACTTGTAATGAATCCTTCAAGGCACCTTTTGGCTTCCCAGCATGAATGGTTATTAGACGTTTGTATTCAGGTGATCCAATTTGACCTGATTTGCGATCACATTCATTGAAGTCTTCATCCTCATGATCACTATCACTCTGCTATTCATGAAAAAGTTTTGATCAAGATAGATATTTTAGAAATGAAAACATGACAAGGTAAATTTCCCCACTGTCTTACCCTGTAATCAGATTCTTGTTCAGCTGTGTTGTCTGGTGTCTCCATTCCGAATGCTTCTTCCCCCCTACCCTCAAGATACTCTTTCGGTGGCTTGGTTGAGATAATTATTCGATTTTTCAATGATTCTGGTGAAGGAAATTCGGCTAAGCATTCTGATTCAGGATAGTAGAGCATATCTTCAAATGTTTGAGTCACCATCTACACGCAAAATTACAGTAGTTCATGAAGAAGGATAGGGGAAAAAAATAGCTCTTTACTGGAACTAGTGAAAAGAAGATGACTAACTTCTGCAACTTTGGCCTGAAGGTCTGCGGTAAGATGGTCTTCTAATGTTATGATTACAGGATAAGGAGAACTAGCAAAGGCATACTCTTTTATGGACTTCAAACACTTTATAAGTGATACAGGAGTGGTCAGGGTCCTGCAGATATTCATAGATGACCCTGTAAGATAAATTTTATGTACAATTACCAAATTTACATTAATCTATAAAATTTGTACAAACTAAAATGCAGCAGATTCAATAGATGATAAAACTTGTAAATCACAGCTTCCAGACCCTTCAAAAGCAAGCTTTAGCTTCTCCTTGTAGCATATTATATGGATAAGGTAAGAAAAGGTTCCAAAATGATCAGTCATTGGCTCATTCCTATCTGTTACAAACTATGGCCACCACCTTACAAACCAGTAATTATTATCCCCCTGATAAAAAATTTTGATAAATTTGAGAATCAGCTCATACCTTCCATGAAGAACAAGAATTTCATCTTTTGTGGAACTTGGCCATAAATCAAGTTCAATTACTCTCACACCCCTTTCTAAAGCCTTGACAATTGGCACCTCGCTACAATCACTGCTGAGTTGATTCCCAGTTAGATAGGAATTGTGCCCTGTATATATGAAATAATGTGACAATGGAGCAGTCATGTCCTGGTGTACCTGAAATATACCATATAATTTGGTCAAGCCGCAACAAAAATTTCCCAGATATCAAAAGAGAAAGAAACATTAATTATAGGATTTTTTTTTTTCTTTTCTGATAAAATCAAGATCATATGTCTTCTTCGTACATTCCAATTTGATTTAGAATTTCGAACCATCCCCACATAGAAAATCCCCATTTTTGGTACAATTATCTGTTTGTTTAATGGAGAAGAGAAATTACCTTCGTTGTGATGGGGCTATTGAGATCGTCATAGAAGAGGAAGTGGAAGAAATCATCGATACTGAGGCCGTGGCGCGCATACCTGGTGACGGGGTGCCTCCGATGAACGACCTGCTCAATAATCCGCTCCGCGTCGGACACGGTGCAATCCACATCTCCCTGCTGCTCTGCTAAGAACCGACGTAACTGATCGGCGGACATGTGAGAGCCGTCCCCGGCGTACTCCGCGAACGCCGCTCTGACGTCGTCGGGTGGCTCCACCTCGTTGATCTTGAACTTCCGATTGAAGAAGTTGAACATTTTGTAGTTGTAGCAGCCATGGTCCTGAGAATCCCTCGTCAGGCTCTTCTCCTTCTTCCCCATTACAGTTCCAAATTCAAATCCCTCTGATTTGCAGAGGGAGAGAAATTTTTTTTTTTTTTTTAGGTGGCCAAGCACGGAGGGAGATTGAAAGAGAGTTAATGAAGGCCTTGAAAAGAGGAGTCTTTGAAGCGGGATCGTTGGAGCTCAACGTTCCAGCGCGGGGACTTAACGGCCAAATATTTCTTTTATTATTATTATTATTATTATTTTAGTACTATTTAAAAATTATATTGATTTTAATTAATATAAAATTGAATCATATTAAATTTTATAAGTAAAAATTTTATCAATATTTATTTTTTTATTTATAAAATTTAAATTTAAAACTCAACAAACTATAGATATTATTATAATTTATTATTATAATTAATTATTCTATATTTCAAATTGTTTTAAATTATAAAGTAATTGTTTTCGTTGGTCATTATTTTTTCTCTTCTTTCCCTTTTCCTTTTCTAATTTTGCCAGCATTTTTTTAAAGAATGATACCATCGTCGATTCTAAAACTTGAGTTTTGTTTTTTCACATTTAAGTCCATAAACATAGTTTTTGAGCATCTCTCAAGACTTCTAGGTTACATGGTTTAGGAAATCTAAAGTTAATGCAAGAAGTATGTGATCTCATACTTTCACTTGCCAAATTTGGAGCTTCCAAGGAATATCTTTTGTATTTTTTTACTCTATTTTAGACTTTTGTACAACTTATTTTGCTTAGAAAAGGACTAGTAGCTTGGTCTTATTGTGTATTGGACAACATGTAACTCTTAATCGTTTTTAATGCAATTTCCCACTTTGTCCCCCCCACCCCCAAAAAAAAAAAAAGTATGTGATCTCACATACCTTTGAATCTTCATTAGCCCATTGTCTCATCACTACCAAATTTGACATGAAAATTAACATAAACTCATTGAACGTAAAAAATTAACCTCAATTGTGAAATTTTACTAATTTATTGACATCAACTTCTATGTCAATTTTGAGGAGCTAATAGAACAATTTGATATGAGATAATGTAGCATTTATGGACTAGGAGCCTTGATGATCATAAACTAAGTATGGGGACTAAAATGTGGGGGGAAAAAATAAAAAACCCTTAGGGCAAGGGGTTTCATCATTTGCATCCTTTAGCTTATCCATTGTAATTGCATCAACTTCCAAAAATATAAACAGTATACCTTAAAGTTTCAGTAGTCCAGATTTCTATAGGGATACCAAAATAACAGTTCATCTTCCATAAAGCAAATTTAAGCAACATCCTCTTTCACTGCCTTCACCACACCTCCTCTGCCAATTGGCACAACCATGATATCCTTTCAAATCAAGAATTTATAACCTCTGCCATCTAAAGGGAAAGGGAGATAATTTAAATAAGTACCTTAGGTTGTTGAGTTGGAAGCGATATTAGCTTGCTCAGCTTCATCTCGTAAGACAGAACAGGAAGGCGTCATAATTGCCATCAATATTGATTTCCACATATATCATGTCTAGTAGTTGTGTCTAAAGGTATCAGGAGACAATTTGGATGAACATGGACAAAGATAAGGTGTAAGCAAAGATATCAACTTTACTTGCATTTAAATCCATAACACTTTTTTGCTGCATAGAGGTTTGAAACCTGAGCCTTGTTCAAAGGCTGATAGACTCTGAATCTTATCTCCAACAAATCCTACCCTTCCCTTTTCCTGAGAGCTTCTAAATGCTCACAAGCCTCATATTTCCAAGTTAAAAGTTGATCAACTGAGCATATGCACACTTTCATTATTAATCGTACTCAGAACACCCCCATAGAGAGAAAATCAATCAACACGCAATATTCTCCCATCCTCATGGACCTCATCCCCTACAGCAAAATTCCTATTATTTAACAACTTAACCAAGTACTTAAACCATGTCTATAGATTGCCACAATCCTATATCAGTCCTTATATTTAATTCACCAGATACAAAATCACCAATAACTAAAAATAGAAATCATAACAAAGACTCATAACAAATCATCCTCCTTATTATACAAAAAAAAAGCACGTGGCACACCCCATCCTCCTTATTACACAAATCATAACAAAGACAGACTCATCGACATCTAAGCTTAAACATCACAGTTGTCTAACAGCATCACTCATACACTAGAAAAGGAAATTATTCAGAAAGACCCATAAGTGGCATTAGATTTCCTAAAGGAACTAAATCCTCCATTTATTCTAACACATACTTGTCACTGAATTATAGCAATAAACATATGGTATCAAAAGAATTACTCTTATCTCTCAAAACATATGGCATTAGATCTCTTCATTCGTGCTCTTGGCATCACCACTTTTGTTTTGCGGATGAGAGATAGTAGAGAAATTGGTAGAAAATTCAGAGTACATGGAGACAACCTTGGAGATGTTCCCGTTGAGTTCTTGAATCAGAGCAACATTCTTGACCATGTTAAGAGGGATCTTGGACTGGTGATTCTCGTTCACTTGCTGAATCAAGGCCCAGTTCCGGTCCAGCACGGACTGCACCTCCCTGAAACTCTTGTCAAAGGTTGCCCAGATCGCAGGGTCTCCATCCTCCTCTGTATCTGTCAAGGAACCATGGTGCCTTTTGAGGCTTTTGCTGGCGGAGTTGGAGGCGGCGTTGTCCATGCTTGATTCTAGGGCGGAGACGGAGGAACCAAGCGTGGTTGCATGCAAAGTGGGGGCCCCGGTTGGTTTTAGAGGCGGTGGTAAGACGTTGCTGCTGCTCTGATTCTTTGTTGTTGAAAGAAAGAAAGAAAAGTTGCCTACGTATCCTAACATGGATTGGTCTTAACTCACCACATGGGAGGTTGTAGTGACCCGAACACAAGCGCCACCAAAGCGCGAGTATAAAATAGATTTTCCGAAGCTAATTACTTAACAATGTAAGGTTATTTATCACTAACTAAACAAGCCCTGACGTGTCGTGGTCTTTAACCCTAGAATAAATTTTACGCAGATTAGCTATTAGCGATTCCCAAAATATCTTCCAATCAAAATATACCGAAAAAGATGTACGACACTACAACAGGGTTCTAGCAGTACATGTGACATGCCACTTGTGGTTCCCCTTGTCTTTCATTTATAGTAGTAGCATAAGACTACTTTCTAGAAGACAAATGACGATTCATAAGTCTGGTATGGTCCATTTAATTAGTACTTGGAAAATCATTAATTCAATGAATAAAGGATATCGGCTAAAAAAAAAATGATTGAAAGGACAAATTAAGTTTTATTTTGCATGCTCAGCAACAGCATATCAACATAATCTCACGCAGTCAGACAAGGGGTAATATAATTTGAGTGCAGTGCCATTGAGTGAGTGACTGGATTAGAGTTACTGTCAGGTTAGAAGAATCAGCACCTAATTAACAGGTTTCCGTTTCCTCCCAAGAACTGAAGCTCTTTGCAATCTGGGTCCACCCATCCGCCATTTCTTGAAGGCTGCCATGGAAGACTGAGCTGCCTCATACACTACAAAACACAAACATAATAAACCGTTACTTAGAAATGGAGGAGGAGTGGAAATAAAATGTCTGTGTAAACAAGCAAAGGGTGCTCACGGTTGGTTTCCTCTCGTGTTAGAAGTGTTAGGACTTTGGAAGTTGCTGTGTACGCTGCAGTGTAAGCTTTGGTCAGAGTTTCTTTATATCTGATCTTGAATGCGGATAACAGCAAGATTTCGATAGTTTTATCGCCAACTCTGTCCATCAAAGAAAAAAAAAAATCATAATCCATGTCATTTTCCAAAGGGAAAAATAGTGAATGGATCACAAAACAGATTGGCTGTTAATATGTTTGATTTTATATAAAAGACATAGCTGAGCAATCATATACCTCCATAGTTCATTCTAAATCAAAGATGGAGTACCAAGACCTGTAGATTAACAACCTCATACAACTATGTGAAGCGGAGTTGTGTTCCCAAATCTAACCACAATCAACAATAAGCAATATCTGAAGTAATAAAATTTGAACCAAACTGTAAACCTTTGTACATTTCATATATACCTAGTGAGTCCAAGGAGTGTCGTGAATTAAAGGGAGGAAAAAAGGTATAACTTGGAAACTTGAAAAAAATTAAAAGGATTAATCATTAACAGTTAAACAATAATGGGGAGCTCTGCTTGTTCACTTTTCTATCCCTATAATAGATATTCAAAAGCTATAAAATCTGAGAAAAATACATCTTGAGATACCCGGGGAACGTTGATGGGATTTAAAATTCTGTAATTTATTAAGGTCAAGAAAACATGGAGAAAGTGCATGGACTTAATGATATGACGAGCAAAGATAAACATTCTGAGATATCTTAAGCTTGATAACCCTTCTGTCTCTTTCTCTTAGAATGATCGGATCAAAGAGACATAATATGAACCATAGGGAGTGAAAAAGAGACTCACAGAGGCAGTATCTTGCAGCCAAATTCATAGAAATATGGACACCGAGATCTAAGATCCACACATGCAGCATCTGCTTGGATCTCCAGCCTTGTTCTGGCATTAAAAAGCATCATCAGGAATAAATGAGGGATCTATAAACCAAAATAAACCTTTAAAAAAAAAAAAAGGTTCAAGTTAGTTCTTGTACGTACAAATGGGCTAACACTTAACTAGTGGTCATTTCTCAAGTCTTATTCCTGGGTTACCACCACCTAACTCAACCCTTTCCCAGTACAGATTCTTCAAGTAGTCAAACAAAGGAACTTGACCTAAAATTAGTTTAAAAACTTCAACTATCTACATTCTTTCAGAGTACTTAGAATGTGTTCGTTGCATTTCTCTTTACAATAAATTGTTATTCTTGGTTTTGCCTCTATTGTGTAGCTTGGCTGTAAATAAATCGGGAAGGTTTCCCCTTATCAATAATTACCATGACTGTTACTAATGAAACTTTTGGCTATATAAAAAAATAAAAAAAATAAAAAAATAAAAAATAAAAAAAGAAAGAAAAGAAAAGAAGGAGAGCCCTATGGCACAACATAAACATGTAAATTTAAAACGTTGTAGGCTGGATTATAGCAACGGAAGGGAAAATAAAATTGGTATAGGAATTAGGATCATACTTCTGATTGAAACAGGGAGGAGCACTAATTGATACGGCTTGCCTCCAGTGCAACTCTTGAGCAAGCCACAAAGGCAGCTCTACTTTTGCACCTTGTTCAACCTGAAAACAGGAAATTTAAAAAAAGTTAAAATAGATAAGATCATTTAGATCCCCATTCCCTCTACACTCATATTCCTTGAGAACTTACAGAATTTGTTTCGGAACTCGGATCAATTATCACTCCGTTCGCCGCCTTGTGAAATACAACCGGAACAAGCTGCGAGCAAAAAGCCGAAAAACTTAAGATGAAGAACTAGAGAGAGTTAAAAGTAAGATCAAAAGAGGCGCACAAACCTCTTCCTCCGTGAGGATATCGTCAATGTCATAGTAACTAGCCATTTCCGAATCTCACTCTCGGAGAAACTGACGAGAAGGCGATTAAGAGGCGATCTTCAACCAGAGACTTGGAAGTCCGGTGATGAGCTCCGATCTGTTGCTGTTGC